ATTTATTTTCCTTGCCACAAGGTTACCTGGATCACAGCTACTAGCTGCTAGGTGAGGATCAGCTCTTCTCAGATTTATGAGTAGATTGCCTGAAAAGGAAGCAAGAAAGTGATGTTTACTTGTTGTGATTTACTGTGTCATTCTGCAGTCTGCGAGATACACGATTCTGGCACGTGCTGTCCTTCTTGTTCGCTGTTCAAGAGATCAACGGGAATCCTGAGCTCCTACCCAACCTCACCCTGGGATATGACCTCTATAAGTCCTACTTTGATGGGAGAGCCACTTCCTACGGCATGCTGAGGCTGCTTGTGGGTGGGGAAACACACTATCCCAATTACAGTTGCGGAAAAAAGATGAATCTGCTGGCCATTCTCGAAGGGACCGAATCGGACCTCTCCATCCTGATTTCAGCCATGTCAAGCATCTATAAAATCCCGCAGGTGTGGCTTGGGAGTGGGCAGGAGGTGAGCAACCAGGCCCTGGGAGGGGGCACAAGCTCAGCTCAGATTCCTCTGAGAAGTCTCTCCGCCCACAGGCAGCATGTCCCTTGGTGGTAGAGCAGGCGCTTCAGAGAGGGACCAAGATGTGAAAATGTGGGGCAGGAGGGTAACCACCCTCACTTCTGGTATCCAGGGATGGAACAGGTGGGCAGTTGCCAAGGGTCCTGGGCTTACGGTCCCTCTGGCTGATCATCTACTGGCATTTCATAGAATAGTAGAGTTGGAATGGGCCATGAAGGCCATCAGGTCCAACTTGCTGCTGTTGCAAGTCACCAGGTTACATCATCCCACTCAGATGGCTGTCCAGTTTCTTTCTGAATGTTTCTAGTGTGGGAAAGCCCACCACCTTTCCAGGCAGCTGGTTCCACTGTCATATTGCTCTGACAGTGAGGAAGCTTTTCCTGATGTCCAGCCTGAATCTGGGTTGCCGCAGCTTGAATTAAGTATTCCATGTCCTACACTCTGGTATCAGCAAGAAAATATCTTGACCTTCCTTGTGACAGCCTTTGAGGTGCTTATAGAGGGATATCATGTCCCCCCTCAGTCGTGTCAAGGCTGTACATGCCCAGTTATCTCCGTCTCTCCTCACAGGGTCGTGTTTCCAAACACTGGATCATTTTTGTTGCCTTCCTCTGAACCCTTTCTAATTGTTCTACATCTTTCTTTAACTTGGTGCCCTGAACTGGACACAGTAGTCCAGATGGGGTATGATATGAACAGAAGCAGAGTCAAACTGGCCTTTGGCTCCCACAGCCAGCTTCTACCTATGACATTCCACATAATGTGTTTTATATTGTTAATTTATAGGATTTTAATTGATTTATTTGTAAGTTGCCCTGAGGCTTCGGCAAATGGGGCGGCATAGAAATTTTAAATAAAATAAAAATAAATAATAAATAATCTTCCAGGCTCCATCCTGATCTTCCAACATTCTCAATTCAGGGTGTAACTGGTTCCTGTCTCCCTGGGAACATGGGGAGGTTGGCAGAAGCCTGGTGGCAGTGGGGGAGAAGCCCTGGCAGAATTGGGAGCCTCCTTGTGGGTCTCAGAAACTTCTGCAGCTCTGCAAGGGCTTGGCTGTGCCATCTTCCCTCCAACTGGCAGTTGGGCCCTGTGGGGGAGCATGGTATGCTTGCCTCAGCAGTGGGACTGGCTGAGGTAACCAGAATGCAGTGCAGCTCCCCCGATCAAGGACGCTGCCCACCCTCAATGGGGCTCCCACCCACAGGCTGCAGCTGCTGCCCAGACAAGGCTGTAGCACTTGCCGAGTATGCCTGGCAGGTGATGGGGAGTATGATTCTGCTGGAAAGCCACCCCTGACCCCTTGAGGCTCAGATCTGAGCATCACGCTGCTTCTGCTGGCCACAAAAACCTTCCACCCTGAGAGAACAGCATTGGTCCTGCAGCACTTCTTTCTCCGGTTTCCCCTCCTTTCCTGAAATTCCAGATCACACTCATGTGTGTGGTCCAAGATGCACATGGAAAGCAGGCGTGCATGCAAAGGTTCTCCTGATGGTGGGCTCACACAAGGCAAGAAGCAAGTTCACCTGCACCGAGTGTGCCCTTAAGGGGACTGCTTTTCTGGACACAGGAAAGAGCAACATTCCCTCCTGTATGGAAAGGAATACCTGGAAGGCTCAGCCTTGGCCTCAGTGGCAAGGATTCAACTGGGATTCTTTCAGCAAATATAGAAGCATCGAAACATAGAGTGAGTCAGAAGGATCCTCCTGGGCCATCTAGTCTGACCCCCGACTCCAACCCGCTTCACTCATGACAAGCCCACCATGTGAATGTCCAGCCTATCCTTGAACACCCTCACCAATGGGGCTTCAACCACTTCCCATGGAAGCCCATTCCATCACCTAGGGAACATAAAGAACATTGAGCCCAGCATGGGCCTTGAACCCACAACCCTGAGATTAAGAGTCTCATGCTCTACCAACTAAGCTAGCCAGACTTTGATGCACAGGGCCCCTTCCAGTAATTTCGCTTACCACCTCAACGTCTTCTCTTATTGCATATCTTCATCTGTGCAGCAATTTTATAGTTATTGTTGGCTTTATGTTTTGGCTTGTTAAATCCATTATGAAGTGCATTGTTTTAATTGTTGTGTATGCTGTGAGCCACCCAGGAAGCCTATGGCTAAGAAGGCAGCATACAAATCAAACAAAATAAACAAATATCTCCATACCTCAAATCTATTCTAGTGATAGAGCATTTTGCAGCCCCCATTGGGGAATTTCGAGTGAAGAGTCATCTGTTTTTGTTTGTTTAGTTTTTTTAAAAAACACAGTAAAGCAAGATATAAACCTTAAAATTGAAGAGTGGTGCAAAATAAACCAGATTAACTGAAGCGGCAGGCTGAAATAAACACACAGAATCTACGGAGAATGGAAAGGAAGCTAAACTGTCCTCTTCTTTCTCTTGCTAGATGAGTTTCGGCTTTGCCACTCGCGTGCTGAATGAGAAAACCCAGTTCCCTTTCGTCTACCGGATGGCCCCCGGGGAGGAAAGCCAGTATCCCGGGATTGTTCTGTTGCTCTTGTATTTTGGCTGGACGTGGATTGGGCTCTTCACCCCCAACACTGACAACGGGGAGAGCTTCATCAAGGCCATGACACCCTTCATGATCAGCCATGGAATTTGCATTGCCTCCTCAGAAAGACTGCCACGAAATATCTTGTACCAAACATTGCCCAGTAAATTATCTGTCACATGGAGAAAAGTAACAGTCATTGTTTTCTATGCAGATTCTCACTCCGGCTTTTCCCCCATCATCGTTCTACAAAGCATACTTGAAAAGGAGAAAGCAGGGGCAAAAGTCTGGGTCACAACAAATTTTCAGGACATCAACATGATCTTGTCTGATCGACGTTCTTATTTTCCATTCCTTCATGGTTCATTGTCCTTCATAACGAAGAGCCCAAAGAGGACCAAATACAACTACTATGAACCATTTTCCTCTGCTACAAAAGAATTCTGGGAGAAAGCTTTGCGTTGTTCCTATGCAAAAAATGCATTGCCTTGGAAAATTTGGATGAGATGCAGAGAGAAGGAGAACCTGGAGAGGCTGCCCCAGGTGGAGGTGGAGAGGGCCCTCTCCCAGGACAGCTTCCGGACATACAGTGGTGTCCAAGCTGTAGCCAGGGCCTTGCATGCCGCATGCTCATTCCGATCCAGGTGGCAGTGGATGGCAGACAGAGGAGGTGGGCTGCAAGGTCAAAGGCTGCAGTCATGGCAGGTATGCCCTTTCCCTTGGCAACACCCCTCTGAACAACCAAAAATTCAGGAGAAATCTTCAGGGCACTGTCATGCCCACTCTGTACCTGTGCTGGGGGCTGAGCTGATTTCGTCCCTTTCTTTCAAACCTGTCCAATTGTCCAGGGGTGCGTTTCTGAGTGGTCCAAGATTGTTAACAGCAGCTCCGCAAACAGACCTCTGGACCTCTCCAACACTGTTGTGATTGCTTTGTGGATGAACTGGGCAGCATCCTCTGTCCACAGAGCAGCCTTGATGCAGAAGTTGCACCAGGTCAAGACGAGGTTCTGAAGCTGACCGGATCCTGTGGGGATCCAAGTCTGTGAGGGTCACAGGGTACAGTGGTCAGTGACGTGGTGTCCATGCGGCCTCCTGATCCAGGCTAAGAGGAGTGTGTGTGTGTGTGTGTGAGAGAGAGAGAGAGAGAGCGAGAGCGAGAGAGAGACAGAGAGAGGGTCGGCCCAGAGTGTGACTCTCAAGGAAGCATAAGATCACCCCTTAGAAAGACCCACCCTGGGTCCAAGGGCTTGGCACAACCACCCCCCAGGTGCTGAAATCCCCCATTTGGAGAAGCTGGCTAGATCCAGAGTGTGCTTGTGGTCCAGCAGTATACAATCTTGAATGGAATGAATGATCTGCACCCACTTCAACCAGATGCCAACCCTTTCTTTGGTACTCGGCTGGCACCATCGGCCCTGATGGGTCTTCTATCCAAGAAAGGGCCAGAGAGCTTTGATGCTGCTGCTTCTTCTCTCTGTGATCAGCATTTCATCCCACTGCTCTTGGTGTCTTTGTGGAGCTGCCCAGTGGGCTGGGTGTGGAGGCCTGTGTGCAAATGGTCCTGCTCCCACTGGTGGTGCTTGTTCCTGCAAGGAACAAGGGGTGCTCATACTTTAGGCCAGCCCTTGAGCTGTTGCCATGTTTAAACTGCTTGAAACTTTAGTGTGTCGTTTCCACCATGTAATGCCATTCCAGCTGAGATTAGGGGTGCAGCCACATGCCTTGCTGATCCCCTCCCCTCCCCTCCCCTCCTCCTGGGTAGTATTTAGTAATAAGTAAATTTCAGACACTTTATGTATTTGAGTGTGTGCATGTGTATGTATGTGTGTGTGTTGCATTCTTCATTTGTGCCAAATCTATTTTGTTTCTTGTTCGTTTTCGGTCATTCCAGCTCCATGCTTTTTTAGAGGATGTCCGGCTGTCAAACGCATCTGTGAATGGCCTGCCTTGGGGCGAGACTGGGGAGTTGGATGCTGAGCTGAGCATCGTGAACTGGGTGCTGTTTCCCAATTCGACTCGTGGCAGAGTGAGAGTTGGGGATGTACAGCAACCGGCATCCTCTGTTGTGAAACTCTCC